AAAATTTGTTCTACAAGGGCGCGTTCCCATTATGTTGTGACGACAGGTAGTAGTGCAGTTTAAAGCGTCGTTGCTCTTTGTTAACAACTTCATTTAAATATAAGTACAACACGATTCACTGTCGCTCACGACTTTTTTGACGTTATAGAATAGAACAGAACAGAATGGAACGGAACGGAACGAAACATGTTTATTTGCCAGAATACGGTAATGATAAAGGTCTTAAATAAAATTTAGGTACATTATATTCAACCTGCAAGCAGATGTACAAGTATTAATTTTATGTTTGGTTTCTACTGTTAATTGCACTTCATATTAATGTAAATTTTAATTTGGAAATTCTAAGTATTCTTTATTACTATAGAAGCAATGTGTCAAAAGCCATTTTGTCAATTGTAATTTAAAAGTATGTCCTTGTAATAATTTAATTTGGCAAATTGTTGTAAATAATTATACACATGTTGAAGCAGTTTTTCTTATAAATTACGTTACGACGATAGACTGTCGAGACAATGGGAAGAGCTCGAACGACAGTCGTTTGACGATAAATAAAACGTCTCGATAAAAATGTGACGATACGACGACGACGTAATTACTATTGTCGTCACGTTTTATTTATCGTTGTATGCACGTGCATCGACAAATTGTCGTCACGATCTAGTGGGAACAGCTAGACACGACAGTCGTCCAACGACAAACAAAATGTAACGACGTAATAAGAACACGCCCTTAATAATAATAACAAACACACTCAACATAGCCCCGCACTAGGGAAACCCTGTATTGCGGGTGCCATGGACACACATACACAACCACAAATTACACCCAAACTCACGAGAGAGATAAATGTAGGCCGTACAAATATTTCTCCCGGCCCGGGAATCGAACCTGGGACCTCTGCATGGTAACCGTTCGGCCACGGAGGTAATTATGCAGGCAGTAATGCTAAAACCATGACGCCAAAACAATAATTAATTTATTGATTTCATAAGTTAACAAGTTACATGAAATACTTCGCTTCGTCAGTGAGTACTAAAATACAAAAACTGGGATTTACACAACGATATCTGTGTACCAGTGTACAGTCGTTGGATTTACAAGCGGTTTTGAAGGGTAAGGGTGCTGGTGAAATCACAGGCACGTGGGACTTGTCTAAAGGTGTCGGGCGCAGTGGCAGTGCCTATCAGAACTTTGCCATTTAAAGCTCTGAGTGTCACAGCAACTATTATGGACAGGCGTGTAGCTCACCATTAAGTGCACGACTTGTTCGTCCCGTTATTTGATAATTTAAAAAAAGACTAAAGTCAAATTCTTGTGAATCGAAATCATGGATGACGAAATGATTTTTTTCTGATCTAAACGTTTCGAACCTGTAAAGGGTCCGAGACGTTGAATTGTTTGCGATTCAGATCCGAAAAATAGTACAAAGTAGTTTAATTTCAAATTAATTTGTATTAAATACTGTCTTGAGCTAAATTTTAGTGGCATCTTTTTCAACTTTATCATTCTCTTCAAATATTCCGACATTAACACGCAAAAACAAACATATTTATTAAAAAACCAAGCATTTTCTAATTCATGTGCTATAATCTGACAACCCTGGAAATAAGTCCCGAGCCTTCAAACCGGGCTCGGCCGCTTTGACTGCGTCCCGTACGTCGGGATACTATAACGCTTGTAGTCAACTACTTGAAAGACAGTATGAAAATTCCCCATTCTCGCGTTTCTTTTCTATAATATCGTTAATCGATATGGTTTCTTCAAAATTACAAATCTGTAAAAGATCAATAAAGGTTTGCGTACTAATAATCGCAAAATACTTTTCCCTTTTCTGCCTACTTATGGAAAGCGAAACCTAGGACTCTTACATAGTAGGCAAAGGTTCTTGCTCAAAAGAGGTAATAATAATATTATAATGTAACAGATTAAAAGAAATGTCACGATAAATAATCCAATTTATTTACACTATACTTACTCAAACCCGAATGGACCCCTCGTAACTTGATAACGAAGCCGCAGTGTCACCTAACGCTCAAAGTGACATTGTGTCATTTTGAACGTTCAAAGTGACATTATGTTTAGTAAACGGACTGTATTATGAAGATGTTTTTAAAATTTTTGCTCGTAGTTTAAATAAGAACTTTATAATATTCAAGAAAATCTTATCTGGCCTTATCTGACTATCGAATAATAATTAATACAAATTAGTCGAAATTTTAAGAATAAATCCTTTGATCCGGCTGGATATCACACATGGTACTACGGAAAAAAGTCGTTAAAAACCAAAAACAAAAATCTGTAGCACACATAAGTATTCGTGGGGTTTGCTGGTTCGTTCCGTGGCTTAATTGGTAGAGCATCTAGCACGGATTGCTGGAAGGTGCTGGTTCGTAGCGAGCCGGATCGAAGGAATTTTTCTTAGTGTTTCGATCTTTGTATTAATAATTATAACATAGTAGTGGAGTAATTTTACAAAAAACGTGATTTAATATCATGGCAGTAAAATATAGTGACATTTTATAAACTTAAAAATTATGGAATAGTATTTGTTTTATAATACCAAAATAATGAGACAAACAAATCGTGCACCTTTACAGCTTTAAATCGCAAAGATTTGATGTACACTGCCTCTGCATCTATCACTCTGAGACATAAGTTGACAAGTCCCATGTGCCTGTAATTTCACAAACACCCTTACACTTTAAATCACACATTATAACAAATATAACAAACGCATAGAAAAATTTATAAGGTCTAGAAGTCTACCACGAAATACGATACTATGTGACTGCATTTGCAACGAAGCGTATACGTAATACATTGTCAGTTTCCGGTGAAAGTAATGCCAAAATTCCATATGAAAGCTGCCATTTGACGTTTCGGAGTAAGGACTTATGTCAAATCGCGATCTTCGTACGCGTTTCATGGTAACCTCCGGTCCGATACGAAGCCAAAGCGATGATCGTTGCTTCGTGTTTCGTATTTCGTGTTAGACTTACTGATCTTCTGTAGCTCAGTTGGAGCGTAGCTCTAAATTGACATTACAGACACAGGTTTGAATTCTGTCAAATCATAGGAATTTATCTTTGTATTAACAATTATAACGAAATAGTGGAGTA